TGCAATGGCGCTAACAAGCCCAAATCGGGTCTAGATCTACCTCTCTCACTTACGTATATCTGTAGTGCGCACGCAGATTGTACACAGACATACAGGATCTATAATTTTATGCCGAATCCGAATGGTTTAATTGAAAGAGGTTTCCATGGCAATACTCTTAGCAGTTTGTCAGACCGCCGAAGAGAAGACACGAACGTATGAAAAACATTCTTAGTTCTGCCGGGAATCGAACCCGGGACCTCTAGCATAGTAGACCAGTGCGCTGCCTATAATGCCACGCTCGTTCTATGTAATGAAAAATAATGGTACATAATTAACCATATAAGCAATATTATTTTAATTTTATATATATATGTATATATATAATCAGGATAATATTGCTCACATTGCTAACTGCATACTATTTTTAATTAATTTTTAACATTTATATTAAAACATATACATATTCATAATATTATAATGTTATAATATACGATTAAGTGTTTCTTAACATAATAAATAAATGTACTTTAAAAATTAACAAGGGAACACACGGAAGTGTCATCCTCTCGATTTTAATAAGCTTCGAATATGTTAAAATATAGAGAAAAATAAAAGGCAGGTATTTTTTTATATTACTGAGCTGCACGTTAAAGAGATGAAACTCCCCTTAAAAAAATAGGCTTCTTTCTTTCGAAGCAAATACTGTCAAAACTGTAACAGATAGAAAAAAATTTTTATACAAAAGTTGAATTGTTTCAAGAGTATTTTATAAAGGAAATAAAAAACATTTTTTTAACTTTTTTTAAAATTTTCTTCACTACTTTACACCTATTTTTTTAATTTTGAAATTTTTTCATTATCAAATTAAAGGTTAATTTTATATGAATTCAGCCATATCAGGAGACACGGTAGTGTCTCGGGTGTCAAGTTAAGATCAACCGAGAACACTGCCGTATGACTTTACGCGATTCGTTGAGGTTCGAGCATCTGAAATTATCGAATCTCAATAATGGCTATACTGATCAAGTTCTAAGTAGGCTTAATCGATAGCTTGAGTCCGACTTGCATAATAAAAGTATTTTTATTTTTCTGCTACGTGCCCTACAAGTAGAGATATTGCTACACAAAGTCCGATTTGGAAATTTTTACTTTAAGAAACGTCATTATCGTCGCCTTTGTACAGCTGCAACGTCTGTCACGAGATGTCATTATTAATCTTATCGACCCAGCGGATTATCAGACTGATAAGTCAGGGTTATGTCAGGGTATTGTAGAATCTAGCGAATCAATGTTCGCTGGGTCCTGCAGTGACCCTGATTTATCGGCCTGATTTATTTGTTGGATCGATAAAATTGATTAATGTAAACACGGTAGTTTTTGGTTAGACCTCTCGGGTATCAATATAATAATAAATACGCGTATATTAAAATTAAAAAGGAAACATTAGCAGTATTAATAAATTGCATACTACTATTATTCTTTTTCTGCGTTCGAGTGGTAGCCAACGATGTTGACGTTCGCGACGAGTTTGACAATTTGTAATAATTTCGGAGTGTAATTCATGTTTGTGTTTATACTTTGCAGGTAAGTTCTATTTTTCATTTTATCAGAGAACAAAGATATTATTCTTTTATTCAATCTTATCTACATACTCTTATTATGTCACTCTAGAAAAATCAGTTCCAAATCGAATAAAAATGAAAATTTGTCAATTAAAAAAATAACATATCTAGAGAACTATACATATATTATAATTTTTGAATATATATGAATATTTCTAATCAACTATTTATTATTAGACAATTACATACATATATATATATATGTATATAAAATTGCAAAAA